TATTGCTATCATGTCACCCCTAATTCTTATTTTCTTTAGACTGGCCAAACCCAAATCCCCAAAACTCCCAGCACAAGGTCACCGGCTTTGTCTGAGGGGTCAGCAAACCCACAATCCAGCTCCCCATCACAATGGTCCTGGCGAGCAATGCAGCGGCCGTTGTCACACCGGAACTCCTGCGGCGAGCATCAAGGTGAGGGGCAGTCCTTTTCATCTGAGCCGTCAGTGCAGTCTGCAGTGCCATCGCAGTGGTACCCCCAGGGGATGCACTGCCCACCAGCACACCGGTATTGGTCTGGAGCGCAGCTCGAGGGACAAAATTCGTCCGAACCGTCTCGACAATCATCTTCATTGTCACAAATCCAGGCCTTCGGGATGCAGCGCCCACCCGTGTGGCAAGCAAACTCCAATTCGGCGCAGTGGGAAGGGGTGCGGCAAGTCTCCAGAGGGGCGGTACACTGCCACAGGCCTGCCTCACATGAGCTGGAGGAGGGACAGAGCATTATTGAATCGCAGAGGACACAAAAATAGCATGGCGGGCTTTTCACCCGAGCTGCGACAATCAGGATCTTGAGGGTCCCATCATTCAGCTTGGGATCCCGAATGTGAAAGTCACATCCATAATCCCCAGCCAATGCTTCTGAGTGCCACAAGCTGGTGCATGGTACTTGTTTCTATACTCCGTGTTTCACCTGATTCTATCTTTGGGCGTGCGCCTAGGAGTACTGCCTGGTGGATGAGAATTCAAGACATGTCGAAGATGTGCCACATGGGTCTTTATGTCCCGGCCCAAAACGTGGCACCCAAAATTGCTTTCTTGTATTCAAATCAAGTTTCTAGAGGAGAATTTTAACGATCAACAGCTGTGTAGAACCTGCAGTGGTCATAGTTTCCCACGCTCTCCTTTCTTAAGTCAACAGGAAGTTTTTAATTCTTGAGCAGATTAAGAGACTCAAAAGGAAGGTATTAGGCTGACCCCAGGGGTCATCTCTGTCGAGATTGCTTCCTCATTGGTCAGCTTGCCTTCCCAAAGGGGGGAGACCAAGGTCTGGTTGGTTTCACCCACCCAGCTTACAAGGGGTACACAGAACGAACAAACGTGGGGGTGTTTCTGAACACAGCAAGGGGACCTCAGTGGAATCTGTGTCTGTGCAGCAAATCGGGATAAACCCACCCAACCCATTTTCCTCCCCAGAAGGAACTCTGGTCTAATGCATGTGTGAATGAGTGGGAGAGAGAGTAAACAACTGGATAAGAGAAGGCATAGCCTGCAGCTGTGCAATGGACAGACGAAGAGACTGTCCATTGCACAGCTGCGGTAAAAAGCAACGGCGGAAGATGTACTCTTTCAGACTTGAAAGATTCTGTTCATGTAGCCGTACAATCAAGTAGAATTCACTCGTGTGGACCTGTCTCCTGTCTATTTGGGGGACTGACATGAACCCTCGGCCTGGGTGGAGAGATCCGTGCCAGAAGAACAAGCAGGTGAAGCCATCTCTCCTGTGTACCCTCCAGTCACCAGAATGGGACAACTCACCACAGACAACACACTATGCACAACTCACCACAGACAACTCTCCAGGCACAATTCGCCACAGACAACTCACAATGCACAACTCACCACAAACAATTCACAATGCACAACTCACCACAGTTAACTATCCATGCACAACACACCACAGACAACTCCCAATGCACGACTAGCCACAGACAAGTCACAATGCACAACTCACCACAGACAACTCACCATACACAACTCACCACAGACAACACACAATGCATAATTCACCATGGATAACTCACCATGGTACACCTTGCCACAGACAACTCACAATGCACAACTAGCCACAGACAAGTCAGAATACACAACTCACCACAGGCAACTATCCATGCACAACTAGGCACAGACAACTCAACACAAGCTGGCCCCAGACAACTCACCACAGACAACTCACAATGCATAACTCACCACAGACAATTCATCATGCACAACGCACCACAGACAACTCACAATGCACAACTAGCCACAGACAAGTCACAATGAACAACTCACCATGCACAACTCACCACATACAACTATCCATGCACAACTAGCCACAGACAACTCACTACGCACACCTCACCACAGACAACTCACAATGCATAACTCATCATGGGCAACTGGCCGCAGAGTACTTGCTGCACTCAGGTCACCACAGGATGTCACGAGAACATTCCAGAAATACAAATGTTAGATGAATTTCAATGGAACTGTGGCCAATAATAATAATAATAAAAGTTTAAAAAACCAATCAAGAAATCCAAGAGTTACAATAATTCCGACGAAAAGGGGATCATCAATATCAAATGTAGCTGAATGAAACTATTCATCCAGCATTGCAATGTCCGTGGCATGTTATCCCATGGCAAGTGTTCCTGAGGCGAGTTGTCCATGGCAACTTGGCTGAGGTGAGTTGGCTGCGGTGAATTGTCCTAGACCCCCATTCACAGAGAACCCCTTACCCACTGCTGCTTTCTCCCGGGAGGGGCTAGAAAATGAGTCCTCTTGGTAGCCAGTGTGTGGGTTAATTGCAACATCCCCCACCTCGAACCCCCCTTTGGCGGTCCCAGAGGGAGAGGATGGAGGGCCACAGTCTGGGAGGAATGCAACTGAGCACCTCCTCCCCATGATGAGGGACCCCTTCCCCAGCAGCTCCATGCCTTACCAGTTCCTGCACTCCTGCATCACAAGCGCCCCCAGTGGGAAGAGGGTGACCTCCCAGAAGCAAGGGCATTCCAATGGATCAATGCAGTGTCCGCCTGGCAGGGGAGACAAAGAAGGGAGGTGGAGGGCAAAGTGGCGGAAGTAGTAGAGGA